CAGAGAAACCCACTGCATGGCAGAAATGCTGCAGTAAGCATTTGCCATGTGTATGTGAGAAGGGGAGCATTGCACAGTTTGTACAGAAACAGCTTTCCAAGATGCCCTCTGCTCACACGTGCTTTCCCCTGCCTCCAGGGCAAACCTCCTGCCCTTTCTCTAGCACACTGGGTGCAGCAGGGTGGACTCTGGCACATGTGGTGCCAGACTGGGCTGGGGGGAATGCTCCAGGCCAGGTCTGTTCCCATGATCTCCATGCTGGTCCTGCCTGTTGTCCTCCAAGGGGTTGCCCCACTCTTGCTCCCATGGTGTTTCTTCTCCCAGGCAAGGAAGTCTTAGTGCCTGGATTCAACATCGCAGGCCTGCTGCCTGCCAACCTGAAACTCTACTTCCACTACAGTGGCTCTCTGACCACCCCTTCCTGCTACCAGATGGTGAAGTGGATGGCCTTCAACCAGAGCATGCTGCTCTCATGACCAGATCTATCAGGGCAATGAGCTCCATGCTCAGTCTTGCCCAGCCTCTCCCCGCAAGCATGCACCATCCACATCTGTCCCCTGGGGCTCACCTGGCTCCCAAAGATGGGACACACCCTGCTCTGCTCATGCTGCTCTCCTTTCAGATGTCAGTGCTGGTGACAAGCCTGAGGAACAACAGCAGCAAACCTCTGCAGAACAATTTCCAGCTGGTGCAGGACCTGCACAGGTAATGGGTGCTGGCAAATTTCCAGACCACCCTCCTTTTGGCAAAGCAGCTGCTTTCTGGTAAGGAGTATGTGAATGTGCTCAGGCCACACCCAGCCACAGGGATGCAGGGACGGGACGAGGAGCAGGAGTTGAGGCTTCACGTCTCTTTTGGAAATGCAGCATTTCCATGGGTTAGCCCTGCCCAGCAGGTGACTTGTGGCAGCGTTGGTCTCGGGGTCCTGCTCTCCCCCATTTCTGCACTTGTCTCACCCTGCATGGGGAAGATCGGTTTCTAGGAACTATTTTGTCCTTGGTCTTGCAGAAGCAATAGTAGCACAGCTGGGGTCAAGGACGAATAGCCAACTCCTAGCATCCCAGCCAGATTCCTCATCCCCAAACACAATAGCTAAATTCAGC